TTTACCCTGAGCCCTGTCAAGGTAGTGTGCATATATCACATGACATCTTAGCTAAGTAAACTGCTTTTCATTTAGCAATGTTTTGTTGCTCATTACCAAATCTGCTATGTGAACTTTGTCCTTTATCGTCATAGTAACCATCTGTCACTTGTCTTGTGACCCATCTCTTCCCCTTACTCCTCAGGTACTGATGATGATCTTGAGTACTACGTCCGAGAGTGTGGAGATATCTTAGGAGTGAGCAACAAGTTACCAGCAGACAGCCGAGATGCTAAGCACATACTGGAGCACATCTTTGCTCAAGTTGTAGAATTCAAGAAACTCAACCAGGTGAGAATTGTGATCCCCTTTCTTTGTTTTTACATCATTGCTTCGTAGGTTTGGATATTTAGCTAGGGAGTCCCATGTTAGCAAGCAGTTGAATTTCCAGCGCTGACCCAGTTTTTTCATAAATCTGGTTTTGTAAATTATTCAAGAGTAATTCACTTCCCCCATCATAGGAAAATCTGCCCCAGCATAGCACCAGAACACCACACCTTGAACTGGATTTGAACCTTGGACCCTTCAATTATGAATCCGGCCATTCATTACTCTAGAAATAGTTTGAACATAGTTTGCCAGATTTGGTCTTGAGTGCTTGGCCAACAAAGTGGAATAATTGTCAGTACAAGTGTTAAATGTGTTCAGAATTTTACTTTACCTCTCAGTTCTCATATTTGAACCCCTCAGCTTTTATTTTAGTATTCAATTGAAGAAAATATTCCTGTCATGTTATTATTTTGGTTACACTGTGACTATTTCCTGTTGCCAATTCTGTTGTATTTTGTGTAGGAGGATGAGGGAGTTGAGGATGAAGGCATCTACTGAGGGATGACTCATGAAATAGCAGTTGGGTATTTCCATCTGCCTTAATTAAGAGGTGTGTGTAGTCTTGAGTTTGAAATGTTCTCATCATTGCTCTCACTGGATAACACTGTCGCTCTTTACATATGAATGTGAAGTTTTCTAAAATGTGTAGCAGGCAGTTGTCTAAAAAAGGAAAGTATAAGCCGAACCCACTAATTGATTCTTAATCCTCCATCATATTGATAATGTTTTGAGTTTACATAAGAATAAACTGAGGTCATATTGTGTATCATTCAGTCTGGCATTTTGATGAAAATGGACATTAAATTGGCAAAAAATATTGAGGATTCCTATTGATCATGTAAGATTCTTTGAAAGGTTGTTATTTCAGAAGTGTTCTGACAACCTGCTGCTTATTTTGTTGAGCCACAAAGTGCTGTGGGTCTTTTTTCCAAAAGTTGTAAAAATGTATTAAGTTTTTGAAAGCATCAGATCCATCAAAAAACCTCCATTACATTAAAACCAATATCACTTGTACAAGGATAATGGATTTGGAAAAAATCTGCAAGTGCCACAAGTCAGATTTGTCATTATTTTAACTCCTTGTATGTTTTGCTGTAAATATTGTATTTATCCCAATTTTTTTACTGTTGGGAAATCTGTGTATATACACAGTTTGAGTAGCTTTGGATGTGGTCGTAAGTCTTTCGATTGATAACACAGAAACAGACATGGTGACATAAGAATATCAAAGGTCATTGCCAGGGTCAAGGGTAATGATCCTGACTTGCACCAATTAATCTAGTTCTCTGAACACATGCCTTTCTAAAAGAAACGAATCGAGTGGTTTAAGGTCTACTGTAAAAGCAGATGTGTGCAAATGAAAAATAGTTTAAACTACTAAGCTTTACTGAGAGGAAGAAATAATCAAAAACAGTGCTGATTCTGCCTGTGTTCAAACCTAATACTTTCCAATCAGCAATTTTTGTAAATTATGTACAAGTACAGTTGTGAACTCTGACCTAAAAATTTAGGTTAAGCAAATTCTTTAGGGGGATGCTCTTGTGATTAAAACAGGAAATGCTCTAAGTCCTTGATAATAAACCCTATTCACGGGCCGGCCATATTGAATTTAAAACTGAGGTTAACCATGCATTGTTTAATGATGAAAGTAAAATGAAAGCAACAAGGCAAACTTGCATTTGTCTTCTCTGATGAGTAATTTCAAATTTGTGATTGAAAAAAACAGAATTGTACCTTGCCAGACTGGAAGGGAGGCTTGGACCGCACAAAAGTTTCAAACAGTCTACTGAGTGCCTTCCTTATTGACAGTTTGCGATATATAACAGACTTAAGGAATAAGATCAAATGGCTTTCACGTGAATAGGGTGTATGCTTACAGGTTTTGATTGTTTATCTCAATTAAACAGCACGATTTTGAAAGAAATGCCTTTGTTGATTTGGATTTTTTATAATATTGACAAAAGGTATGGCCCAAACACTGAATATAAACTAATTTGCTTTCAACTTCGAGAGATTGTAAAGAGTAAATATGACAAGAGTTCACAAAGTGTCAGTCCCGAAAGCTGCCATTGAAAAAATGCACCTTCGAGATGACTGTCTTTTGGTGTTTCTAGATTTTTGTCAGTATTATGTTTACCATTGCATAAAAATGCAAGGCTTTTTCCCTAATATGTTAAAAAATATTGCATGGGAATGATTTTTTTACCGTTTAGAATTTTTGACCCCAAATTAATTTTTCCCCCAAAATTAATTTTTCCCAATTTTAATAAAGTTTCAAGGCTAACCCCTTACCATTTTGATTTTTCGACCAAAAATGAATTTTTCTCAATTTTAATAAAATTGCAAGGCTTTCCCCATACCATTTGAATGTTCAACCAAAATTTCTTTTTTCACAATTTGATGAAATTGCAAGGCTAACCCCTTTCCGTTTTGAATTTTGAAACTAGAATGGATTTTTCTTTATTTAAAAAATTGCAAGGCTATCCCCTTACCACTTCCAATTTGCGACCAAAATTAGTTTTTTCGGAATTTTCAAAAATTGCAGGGCTTAACCATTACCACTTTGAATTCTCGACCAAAAATGAACTTTTCTTAATTTTAATAAAATTGGAACGCTAAACCCTTACCATTTTGAATTTTCGACCAAAAATGAATTTTCCATGATGTTAATATAATATAATAATAGTATAATGTTAATAAAATTCCAAGGCTAACCCCTTCCCATTTTAAATTTTCGACCAAAAATGAATTGTTCACCCAAAATTGCAAGGCTCACCCCTTACCATTTTCAATTTTCGACCAAAAATTAATTTTTCGTAATTTTAATAAAATTTCAAGGCTAACCTCTTACCAGTTTCAATTTTGGACAAAAAATTGTTTTTCACAATTTTAATAAAATTCCAAGGTAACCCCTTACCGTTTTCAATTTTTGAACAAAAATGAATTTTTCGTAATTTTAATAAAATTGCAAGGCTTACCCCCTACCGTTTTCAATTTTCGACCAACAATGAATTTTTCGTAATTTTAATAAAATTGCAAGGCTTACCCTTACCATTTTTATTTTCGACCAAAAATTAATTTTTCGTAATTTTAATAAAATTGGAAGGCTTACCCCTTACCGTTTTCAATTTTCGAACAAAAATGAATTTTCCCAATTTTAATAAAATTCCAATGTTAACCCCTTACCATTTTGAATTTTCGAACAAAAATGAATTTTTCGTAATTTTAATCAAATTGCAAGGCTTACCCCTTACCATTTTC